CGGTCTATTGGATCTGATGGATCGAAATCAAATGCCCGCTCCATGTCTTGATATGTCGAGGCAGCATCTTCACCTTCCGCGAGAGGTATACTTTTAGGGGTGTAGTAGCTGACCTTCGAGCACAAGGGGTAATTGGTGAGCATTCCGGCGAATGCCTGCGCGAAGAATCCCCCATTTTGGAAGAAGTCGACTTTATCTCCAAAGATTAAGGTTTCCACGTTAGGTGCATCCATCAACTCTGCCCAATCGAACCGCATACAATCTTGGATCACTAGCGTCTTAAGTTTGGGTAGATGAATGGGTTCGGTATCTGGTAACGAATCTGTGTATATGTGTAGGGTTGTGAGTGTTTCTTTCGCCCAGTTGACCAAAATATGCCACATTTCGATATACTCAAAGTGGAGTGATAGGGTTTGCAGAGCAGGAGCTCGCCAATGTTGTTCTATATCTTCTAGAATTTCTAGTTCGTCACATGACCTCACCCTCAGGCTGATAAGCTGCGGGAAAAGAATCGTTGTCGGAGAATCACGGGACTTCGTTGTCGGGGAATCAGGGTCTGGGATGGTCGCATTGTCCAGATCTATGTCCAAGAACTGAACATTTCTCCAAAAGTGAGAACCGCCTTCCCAACGGTAGTCATAGCTGTGATGATGGTCGAGTAGAAAGGAAGGGCCGAGTCCTCCTGGTAGCAAGAACACAACATTTGTTGTCCAGTGGCGAAAACTTGCGGGGCAACCAAGACTTGTAGCCGATTCAGACGAGGATAGAGGCGAGAATGAATAGCCTCTTGGACTTTATTGACTATAGCGTAACTTGTGCTATTGTCGACCTCGTCCGACATGAGTTCTGCCCACACAGCATTGAGCTGCACACGGCGTACAAACGACCCATAATTCGATTTTTGTTCAAGAGTTTCGATAACCTGGGCGCATACGCGGAGATCAGGTAATAATTTGATTGTCAGGTTTGACCAGAGGAACCTGACGCCAACATCATGCCAAAATTTACAGACCCGAACAAAACTCAGGCGATCCCGAAAGCTGCTCTTTTCTTCATGTCTGGCAGAAGGGCTGAGATGAGGCTCTGAGAGAAGTCTCGAGGGTTCCGTGAACGGGATCGAAGATGGTTGACCATAAAATTCATCTTGTTCATGCATTCGCGTTGCAAGGGAAATGATTTGGGTCAAAATTTCAACCGGTAACTGCCTATTTCGTTCCTTCATTGACGATATATGTGGTTTTTGGGTTGTGAGGTCGGTAGTCATGATGTGGAACGAGGTCAAGTTGAGGGCAGTCAAATTCTTGGACCCAGCCATGCTCATTGCCAGAGACGACAGTTAGATTTTCGGAGGATCTATTCGTGCACTAATCATATGATATAGTTCACCTAATTGACTATTGCTGGTTTGCTCAGTAAATCGAAAGGATATACTTCAATCAATCCTCTTAGGCAATGAAAAGACTTCTATCTATCAGAATTGACTTGTCTCTATTGACCGTACCCCATTTAAGACGGCACGCAACACGTCTTCCTGACGATTCATTGATTTCATGCCAGATTTCCGACCGTTGCTCCCAAGTCGATAAAATCTTATCTTCTTCATCCGGGTATTCGGGTAGGCGCTGTAAGTGTTCTTTGCGTAAACTTCTCCAATCTCCTTTATGGATCCAAATAGGAGCCGTGCACTGAACTAATGCTCTCTGGCATTTTAAACACCCGAGTCTAGGTATCTTCGTCAGTAGGGGCTGATATATATGTAGCTCCACTCACAAACTGAGGTCTAGGATTATCTCAATACTGCCGTTCAGTGACAATTCAAAGTTGGTTGGGCGCTGAGGAGTTTTGCATTCGAGAACAGAGTGAAGGGAGTCGAAGACACCCTTTGGGATACGATTTGGTAATTCAAGCTTGCAAATTGGGTGTACCCCAGGTGGAGAATAGAGGTTTCGCCGTTCGAGCATGATAAAAAGGATGTCCCATTCTGGGATATGCGAGGAGGATATCGATTCTAGGTATGGGTGATTATGTGGTGACAACGCAAGATCTTTACAAAACCGCGTGAAATGCTCGGTGATGGATAATGGCATGGATAACAACTTCAGTTCACGGAGGAAGGGAAGAGTTGCATTGGTCCCAGATATACATGTATCTGTCAACTCTAGTCGTTCTAAAGCGGGCCAGGGAGCAAGGACATCCATGAGGTGCTTTCCTGCTTCGGGATTGTTGATGTAGCCGGCTCGCAACACTAGTTCTTTGATATTACTTGGTGGGCCTCGGAGGGGCGACATGCTGTTGCAAACTAGTTGAAACTTGGTCAAGTTGGGAGGCATCCATTGGTTGTGAATTTTCTCGTTCGGTCCAATTAAACACAATTGGAGCTCCGTGGGATTCAAGAACCCTTCATGTTGAAGAAAATTTGTCATTTCTCCAGGTCGAATATAATTGAGGCATAAATCTTCGATGCAGGGCAACGCCCAAATAAGCAATGCCGTGAGGTCTCGAATGGCGGGGAAGTCCACAAGATCGTGGTCCCATTCGACGCGCGAGAATTTCATACGTAGGGTATGAACTCCAGAATGTTTGAGGGAAATTGTAGGTAATTCGAAGCCGTCATCCTCTCTGACAAAGACGTCGAGGTTGACCATCTTCAGTTGCGGCATACTGGTGACCTCGGTGATCAAATGGGTCAGCAGCTTGGTACCAACAGAGATGTGAAGACTCTGTAGACTAGGCAATTTTGGGAATAAGCCAAAAGGGAAAGAAGGACGAGTGTCTTGGTAGACGAGGGATTTACAGAGAAGTGGACGATGAGGTATTTCTGCGACCGAGCGATCGTTCTTGGGATCCCATTGGGAGAAGAATAGGTACTCGAGAGAAGGATTCTCTCCAAGAACCGGAAATGCGGTGAGAAAATCTCCTTTCAGTCGAAGGGATTTGGCTTGTTGTAGATTCTTCCACTGGAGTGACTCCAGATAGAATCTCACACCATCACATTCCCTTAGAGATACTAAGTCTTGCATCGTCTGTAACCCATTTTGCTTCCATCGGACGTGAACAGGACCCTGCTTTGTGATTCGAGTTAGGTGAAGGAGGGGTGACAAGTCGCGAATGGTTGACATCCATAAACCGTGAACTTGATCCGACTGAGCGCCAAAAGGGCTCTTGTACAGTAAGTTAAGAGCTTTGATTCGTGACCGGTGAGGGTATAGTATTGTTCTAATACTCGCCCAGCCGGCACATTGCAATGTAATATATAGATTAAGCGGAAGGTCCTGAGATAAATGAAGACAAGTAGCGATATCTGCGTGTAAGTCGTGCAGGTCGTCTCGTATATGGATATTGGTCCAGAACATCGGCGTCTGAATGAGGAAAGCCTCCCATCTCCTCGATACAAGCATCATAACCATGACCAAGTGAGGTGTGATCTCGTCAAATACTGATTCTTCACCCAATATGGCCAGACTGATGATGTGTGTCCAGAGTTCATGCGGCAAGAAGTCGAGTGGATCCGTTGAAGGTCTTATTGGCGGCGTGATTAGATAGCCTATAAACTAGTTGAGACCCAAAGTGCCTTGTTATAAGATTGCCTCATACGGACCTTTTCCTTTGGGACCTGCGACTTCATGTGATAATATATCTCGCCCATGCCTTGATTTTCCTTTGTTGATACTCTGAGAGTTATGAACCGAGGAACGCGTTCGTTCTGAGGACTCCGACTTGAGGCTCTCAGTTGCCATGAGAGGGCGGAGGTGGTAGTGTTCAGGTGCAAGCTGCCGTCCGTCGACCATCTGAGGTATCAATCGTCACGGCGAAAGCCGATATTTGAGAAGGTCACAACTTAATTCTATTCTCTCATTATCGTATCCACGGCAAAAATTGAAAGTTTGGAGATATTATGACGAGGGGTTGGACTCCTTTGGTATACCAGTGCGCTATTTCACTCAGTTTGGCTATGAACTCAAGCAACGGAAGCTTATTTTTCGTATACTACATGTTTTTCACTATGTTTATCTTTTATATGAGCTCACTATAAGCGTCCTTATCCAGCACGTTAGGTTACTGTAGTCACTTCGATGCATCTCCCGCGAATGGGAGAAATGCCTGCTCGAAAATGATGCGTCAAGTATGAATAATTCTATCATATTAGACAGAATACTCATTTATGAAAGTGAATGCGTTGTCGTACCTCCTCTTTCCATTTGCTTGGAGACAATATAACGCCGAATACTGTGAGTTAATAGATTGAATTATTTCCCTTCGTTAGCATACTACGCAGCCAGGCCCTCTACCCGGATTTCGCACGTCTTTTTTCTTTTGGCGAACATGCCAATAGGCGACAGTGGCGAGTGTCCGAAAGACGCGCTTGGTAAACTCATCCAAAGCAGGATCATTCTCTTGTTCATTTGAGAAACCACCATTTGTATTTCCATCTTCTGGATCTACCCACATCAAGGAAGCAACTGCCCCAATTTCAGCAGCGGCTTGTCGGACCTGCTCAGTTGTAACCATCTGGGGTGACGGAACTTGAGAGGGTATTGGATTGCTTTCCTCTGATGATGCTTCGATAGGGTCCGGGTCGGAAAGGCTTTTCAAAATGTTATTAGGAGGACAGCCGATCAAGACCAGAGGGGTGGTAGGTTGATAGTGACATGTTTTTGGGAACCACTGTCGAAAAGAAGTGCTCATTAAATCTTATAAAGCATCAAAAATGGGGAACAGTGAGCAATATACCTTGTGTACGACTCTCTCCAATGTTTCGGGCCTAGCAACGTTATAGCATAGTCCTATAACATCTTTTGCTATGAGAACTAGAGGAGTCATTCTCACAACATTTTCATCATTGTCAAAAGGGTTCAAAATATTTAGTTGTAACTTGACGAGTTGTTGCTCCAATGCGGCCCAATCCTTCGGTTTAGGCCCCATTGACGACAAGAGAATCGGTTCAAGAGATGCATCCAAGTTTAAAGCTGCACTATTGTTGCGATGGTGCATATGATATCCATCTTCCGGTGTAAACCCTGGACACATTCGCTGGCACAAGATGTCTTTGCCCACCCCCCAGTCGCCAACTAATATGCTATATAGAAACATATTCGTTAAAGGTTCATCTGGTACTTCTCCTTTGTGTCACAGTGCCTGTTGTTCGGGAGGGCAGGTGTGATCGGGTCCAAGGACGAATCGGGCAGAGAAGCTAATGGCGGCCAGCTGAATTGGCCAATAGTGCGTTAACGACTCGAATTGCGAAGGTCACGCCAATATTTAGAGGGCAATACTATTTATTTCATTTGGTTACAAGTTTGACGTTAGCGCGTCCACATTACGTGACTACTACAACGCCAGAGGTGCTGCCATCACTTGCCGGCTTTGCCTATGATGTTATCCCCCTTATAAGCCGTTTCCTATCCGAGATCATATTAGCTGATGGCTAGATATAAACGGTGAAAGTTATGGATTTATG